GTGACCCTGTCTCTGTCTCTCTCTCTCTCTCTCACACACACACACATGCGCGTGCACGCACACACACATGATGCGCAAAACTCTGCATTTGAACAGTCAATAGCAAATACTTAAACTAATAGCAAAACAGTAGCTGATTCAGAAGCGCCAGATTGTCATAGCAAAGGCAGAATGACCTCTTCTCCTAGGTTCACGAAACGGTCGTCCATAAAATGCATTGCTGTTCTGTTGTAAGTAATCTTAAAGATTCCTAAATGCATCTACTTTCGGAAGGCTAAATAAAGTGCTTTTGCTTTCGCCTAGAAACACACAGCGTCTCCTTGACATGGCTGCTTCAACACTAACTGCTGTTCCTGAAACCACGCCTTCTTTCTTTGCGTGATCATTTGGGCGCATTATGCAAATATTTCCACATGGTGATGTAGATATGTGGGGGCGTGTTAGAATGAGCCGTTTTAGGGGGGCGTGGCAGAGTCTTAACTTTGATAAAGAATATCTCTTTGGTTTTGAGACTTTAGTCTTTGCAACTTCAGGGATCTTATCTATGCACAATCAGCTTGTAACACTCCAAAGAGAAAGGAAAACTTGAAATCGCATCATATGACCCCTTTAAAAAATCGTAATTATTTCAAATATACACTAACGGTCAAAAGTTTGGAAACAGAACGATTTTTAATGTTTTTACAGGAGGTTCTTCTGCTCATCAAGGCTGCATTTATTTGATCAAAAATACAGTCAAAACAGTAAAAATTGTGAAATATTATTACCATTTAAAACAGCTGTTTTCTATGCGAATATGTGTTAAACTGTAATGTATTTCTGTGATGCGCAGCTGTATTTTCAGCATCATTACTCCAGTCTTCAGTGTCACATGATCCTTCAGAAATCATTCTAATATGCTGATTTACTGCTCAAGAAACATTTATTATTATTATCAAAGTTGAAAACAGTTGTGCTGCTTAATATTTTTGTGGAAATCATGATACATTTTTTATGATTTTGATGAACAGAAAGTTCAAAAGAACAGCATTAATTTGAAATAGAAATATTTTGTTACATTATAAATGTCTTTACTGTCACTTTTGATAAA